GTCTGTATCTCATATAGATGCGTTTAAGTCAAAAACCAATAATAAATGTCAATCTTTTGCCACTTCTTAGAGATTATAGGTCTTTGGGAAATATTGGTTCCACATCTAGGAAGACCATTTACGTGCAACATCTACCAATAAATTGGAAATGAGCAAATTAGTTTAAGTTGCTATTATTCGAAAATTAGAGAACGAAACCTGATGGTTTTCTTTTATTATTTGTCACAATATCTTATGGAATTCTTTCGAGTATCTCGCCTATATAAACTGTATCGTTTATTATAGTGTTGTAGGGTATTCAACGGTCGGCCCCGCTCGACTGTAGCCTTTGCTTACTTGTTTTTTTTTTTGTTTTTTGCTATAAAAAATTTTTTACAAGAATACATTGTAAGCATAAATTTGATGACCTTTTCCAGAACTGAAGACTAAAGAACATAAAGCAGCAGACAACCATGGAGGCTGCTGATTGGCTGACTGCTGGCTGAGATATCACTCATTACTGTCAAAACACGATTTTTCTTTGTTTTTTTTCGCGTTTCTTTTGAATAACACCACGATCGAGCCCACAAGAACAAATTATTCGCACAATAATGTGACCTTCACGGCCATGATCATTATCACTTCATAAATAACGAAAATCGAATTTTTCGAAAATTAAAATGCAATTTTCGGACAAATTATTGAACATTTTTTTTTCTTACAAAAATTTGAATTTCCTAGGAATAATATAAGTTGTTGACAAGTAATAACTATTTTTGTTTTTTACAGAAAAATTATCCATTCCGTATTATACAAATTTGAAACATGAAGAATGTGATTGAAAATACCAATAATAATACAAAAATTATTTTTCAGACATGAAAATATAATATGAGAGTTTTTGTTGTTCTGGCATAGCAAAGACATAGACCTCAACTAAAAATAACACTGTGCTAATAAAAATTAAATTTTTACAGGGAACCCCCAATAGATTCTGAAAGAAGAGCTAAAAATAGAAGACACGTGTATCAACTTTTTGCAATTTCACATCCCAAAGTAGCCTAAAAAGATGGCGGAAGTTTCCGCCATCTTCCAGATATTTTTTGATATTTCCGGATTAGGAATCCTTAAATCGAAAATTACACTGTGCGACTGAAATTATTTTTTTGCATAATAACGAGAAAATTCCAACTGACTATAAATGTAGAGCTAAAAAAGAAAATATGTGTATCGACGTTTTGAAAGTTTAAATGGCAAAGTAACCTTAATACAGAGGACAGGTTACCCTCTCTTCCAAACATTTGAATTGGATGAATTTGTATGTATCGTTGAATTTTCGGATTAAAATCCTTCGGGATCCCTGCAATTTAGGTATATAGTGTCTCCGGCAATATTGTAGATAAAAACAAGTAAAAAAGCTGTAAGTACTTTGAATACCCTCTAACATTTGGAACTAATTTGGCCATTTTCAAAAAAATAAAATCCGTTAGAAATTCTGTTAAAATATTAAAAATATCGAATTGAAGTTATATTAGGATCTTTACGACGACGTGGACCTGCAAAGGCAACTTTTGTCACAAGCTATTACAATATTCAAATGTGAAACTTAAAAATTATCAAAATACCGACTATAGGCAGGTACCATCATATGGGGGCTATACGAAGACTTGGACCTTGGACAGACAATTTCCTGTCTTAGGCTGTAATATCCATTACGAACGTCAAATACCAAATTTGAAACAATTCCGGTGAGTAATGTCGCTAAAATCATCAAAATACCGAATATCGTGAGGTACAGTTATATGGGGGCTATGCGAAGGCGTGAATCTGCACGGACAATTTTCTGTCACAGGCTGTAATATCCGTTACGAACTTCAAAAACCAAATTTGAAACAATTCCGGTAAATAATGACGCTAAAATCATCGAAATACCGAATATTGGGAGTCACAGTTGTGTTGGGGCTATACAAAGACGTGAACTTGCACAGAAAATGTTGTCTTAGGCTGTAGTGTCCATTTCGAACTTCAGATACCATATTTGAAACAATTCCGCTAAATAATGTCGGTAAAATCATCAAAATACCGAATATCGGGAGGTATCGTTATATGGGGGCTATACCAAAACGTGGACCGATATATATCATTTTCAACACCAACCATCCTAGACACAAGGTTTGAAAAGGCTATGGTGTCAACCATAATTTGGCATATGTTTCGTGGAATGTCAGAATGTGGGCTTTTTCGACTTTTGGGTGATTTTTTGTTAATGTTGGTCCAAAAAATTGAATGACTTCAAAGTCCTGTACCTTTGGCTCCAGGAAAAATAATAAAATATATTGTGGCTTTTTGAAAAGGTAATGGTGTTAACTATGAATTGGCATTTATTTCGTGGACTTTCAGAATCGAGATTTTTTGAACTTTTGATGGATTTTTTAAAACAAAAAAAAAACGGTTCCAAATAATCGACAGGTTTCAAAGACCCATTTCTCTGGATTCAGGAAAAATGGTAGCACATATTGTATGTCAAGTATAATTTTGCATATATTTCAAGAACTCCCAGAAGGGGGCCCTTTTCAACTTTTCGGGGATTTAAAAAAAAAAAACGGTTCCAAATAATCGGCCGGTTTCAAAGACCCATTTCTCTGGATCCAGGGAAGATAATAGCACATATTGCAGCAAAGGTTAAGTTATTAACTATAGTTTGGCGTATATATTGTGGAATCTCAACATGGGACCTTTTTCGACTTTTAAAGGATTAAAAAAAAATCTGGGTCCAAAAAATCGAACGGGTTCAAAGACCCACTCCTCTGGATGTAGGAAAGATAATAACACATATTGCAGCATTTTAGAAAGGTTACAGTGTCAACTATAATTTTGAATGTATTTCGTGGAATCTCAGAATGGGGCTTTTTTCGACTTTTAGGGAATTTTTTCAAAAATCCATGTAGAAAATATCGATATATCTTTGTTTCAAAGACCCAAACCTCTGGATCCAGGAAAAATAATCACACATATTGTAGCATTTTGGAAAGTTTATGGTGTCAACTATAATTTTGCATATATTTCAAGAACTCCCAGAAGGTGGCCCATTTCGACTTTTCGGGAATTTTTTTTAAAAACTACGGTTCCAAATAATCGGGCGGTTTCAAAAACCCATTTCTCTGGATCCAGGGAAGATAATAGCACATATTGCAGCAAAGGTTAAGTTGTTAAGTATAGTTTGGCGTATATATTGTGGAATCTCAACATGAAACCTTTTTCGACTTTTAAAGGATTTAAAAAAAATCTGGGTCCAAAAAAATCGAACGGGTTTCAAAGACCCACTCCTCTGGATCCAGGAAAGATAATAACACATATTGCAGCATTTTGGAAAGGTTATGGTGTCAACTATAATTTTAAATGTATTTCGTGGTGTCTCAGAATGGAGCCTTTTTCGACTTTTGGGGGATTTTTTCAAAAATCCAGGTCCAAAATATCGATAGGTCTTTGATTCAAAGACTCACAACTCTGGATCCAGGAAAGATAATGACACAAATTGTAACATTTTAGGTTATGGTGTCAAAGGTTTGTAAAGGTTATGGTGTCAACTACAATTTAGCATATATTTTGTGGAATCTCAAAATGAGATCTTCTTCGACTTTTATGGGATTTTTTCAAAAATCCAGGTCCAAAATATCGATAGGTTCTCGTTTCAAAGACCCAAACCTCTGGATCCAGGAAAGAGAATAACGCATATTGTAGCATTTTAGGAAGATTAAGGTGTCAACTATAATTTCGCAAATATTTTGTGGAATCTCAAAATGAGATCTTCTTCGACTTTTGTGTGATTTTTTTCAAAAATTCAGGTCCAAAATAACGATAGGTCTTTGTTTCAAAAACCCACACCTCTGGATCCAGAAAAGAGAATAACACATATTGTAACATTTTTAGAAAGGTTATAGTGTTAGCTATATTTTGGTATATATTTCCCAAAATGGGACATTTTTGGAAAATTTGGGGAATTTTTTTCAACAAAAAAAAAAGTACGGGTCCAAAAATCGACCGTTTTCAAAGACTCACATCTCTGGTTTCAGGGAAGATAATATAACACATATTGCAGCATTTTGGAAAGGTTACAGTGTCAACTATAATTTTTAATATATTTTGTGGAATCTCAGAATGGGGCTTTTTCGAATTTTGGGAATTGTTTTTAAAAAATCCTGATTTAAAAATTTTACATTTCGATTTAACCCCCGTTTCAAATAATGCAACCACTTGTTGGAAAGTATTTTTATTAGATTTCATATGGTACCTACATTGGCCATATCGGTTGAGGAGATTCGGGTCTAGAGCTCATCAAGAAGAAAATTCCATTCCCGCATCATGGATGGGGCCTTTTTCGAATTTTGGGAATTTTTTTAAAAATCCGGTTATAAAAATTATTTATTTAGAAAACCTTGTTGGAAAGTATTTTTATTTTTATTATGGTACCTACATTGGCCATATCGGTAAAGTAGATTCGGGTCTAGCCCGGGTCTAGAGCCCGCCAAAAAGTATGTTTTATTAGATTTCAAATGGTACCTACATTGGCCGTATCGGTTAAGTAGATTCGGGTCTAGAGCTCATCAAGAAGAAAATTCCAATCCCGCACCATGGATGGGGCCTTTTTCGAATTTTGGGAATTTTTTTAAAAATCCGGGTATAAAAATTATTTATTTAGATAACCTTGTTGGAAAGTATTTTTATTTTTATTATGGTACCTACATTGGCCATATCGGTTAAGTAGATTCGGGTCTACAGCCCGCCAAGAAGAAAAATCCTTCCCCGAATCTGAGAAAAAATTTCAAAAAATCTCAGAGTTTTTATTAAAACTTGTTTTGATAATTAATAGCTTTGGATCTTAGCATTTCCTTTTGGGGTACCCTGTATGTTTAGGTCTCCAAAAATATATGAAATATAACTATTAAATCTGCTTTTGTTGTTGTGCGCTTTTCTTAGATTTTCAAAAAATTTTTTTTCAAAATTATTCATCCAAATCTTACACTTTATTTTTAGTATATTTTTATCTTCTGAATTTTCAAATTAAAAAAAAATTGTAATTAATTTGATGGTGGTTTTCCGGCTCAATAACTTTGTTTGGATAATTATGATTATTTTTTTCACGCTTGTTTCGTTCGGTTTGTCTTCAGTTAACAATTTGTTTTTAAAAATAAACAGCAAATTACTTGTTTTTTTTTAAATTTTGATTTTTTTCTCAAACTTGGTTGTTGTTTATTTTTTATTTCGATTTCAATTGGTTTTTAACAACAACATTTCAAACAAAAACAGGTGAACATATTTTCAAATAACCGTAAATTTGCATTCATTTAACATGCAAACAATTTGACGTTTTGTTGTTCTTTTTTTTCGAATTTTCGTTGGTTTGTTTTGTTTATAAAGTTGGCAGTGCACTTGTGTTGCTGTTGTGATTTTGTTTAACAAATTTGTATTTTTTTTTTTATTAAACTGATCGGATTTCATATGTATTTAACTTTTTTCGTACATTTTTCTTCTCCCCTGGATTGTTACATTAACGATGGGTTCAATTGCATTGACTGGAAGTGGCCTTCACTTTTCGAATCATTTTTTTCGATTTTTTGATTTTTAATTTTAATTTCCAAGTGGCTATATTTCATCAAAAAATGTGAGCTAAATAAATGATCTTTATGTTTGTAATTTGTAACAAAACCGAAAATATTGAAATAATTTCAAAATTTTTTCTACGGAGGTCAAATTGTAATGAAACCAAATGCATTTACTCCACACACACAATAGGCGGAGGGGGGTCTAATGAGCATGGGTTGGTGGGGGGAAGAAGGTTGCTTTGCTTTTCTTTAGTAATTGTTGTTAATTTGTTTCACTTCACTTCACTGCAGCAGTTGTTGTTGTTGTTACAACGGTATTCACTCTCAAAACAATGTTAATATTTAATTATTCGATAATTAACAGACTCTTTGGATTTTCTAATTTTTTTTTCTGTTTTTTCCTTCTCTTCTTTACCGATCATTAGGCATTATTTATTTGTAGTTGTTGTTATGATTTTTTAAAAAATTGCATTCATTAATTATTTTTTATATATTTTCTAATTTTTTTCAATATTTTTCTTCTTCTGCTTTTTTTCCTCACACACGAGAGAGAGAGCATCCCATCTCAAATCCATCACTCACAAATTAATTAGTTGTTATTTTTTCACTTGTCACCAATAGTGAGTCTTTAAAATAAACGCTCGAATTTTAAAAATAAAAAAATGCTCGCCGTTCTCAACACTGGAAAGAAGAACATCCACAAAACCGTACCGTTCGACCGTAGCGTACAAACGCCCTGTGCAAACTGAATCTGTCGCTTGCCAAGAGAAAAACAATCACCGGCAGCCAGACAGTCAAAGCAGTGAGTTGTTGTTGTTGGTGGTTTTGGGTTTTCTAATAGGACCGGTAGGTAGGTGCTCGCTCCACACGGCAGAAAACACATGTTCATGCAACGAGAGCACACAGTGTACCGAAATGGAAAATGAGTTAAAATGTTCTTTCTTTAGAAAATATATCGGCTAACTTCGGTTTAGCAAATATTCTCTAATAATTTTTTTTTTAATTTTTTTCTGGATGTGGGAATTTAACCCTGGGGGATTCCGTTTTCCCTGACATATATCGGCTAACTTCGGTTTAGCAAAAATTATTCGATTTTTTTTGAAATTTTTCTGGATGTTGAAATTTTACCCTGGGCGGAGCCGTGTTCCCGGACATATATCGGCTAATTTCGCTTTAGCAAAAATTCTCTGTTTTTTTTTTAATTTGTTCTGGATGTTAGAATTTTACCCAGAGCGGATCCGTGTTCTCGGACATATATCGACTAACTTCGGTTTAGCAAAAATTCTCAGATTTTTATACCCTACACCACAAGGTGGTCATGTCTTTGTGCATTTGTTTGTAACAGGCAAAAGGAAACGAGATAGACCCATAGTTCCTTTTGATGATCTGCATAGAATCACATTCTGAGTCGATTTATGCATGTCCGTCCGTCCGTCTGTCCATGTATTTTTGTGAACAAAATGCAGGTCGCATTTATTATCCGATTGAGATGAAATTTTCCAAACAACATTTCTTTGGCCCAAGGACGAACCCTATATGAAATTGGAGATAATCGGTAAAAATTTGGATATAGCTCCCATATATATCTTCGTCCGATTTGTCTTTTGTTGTGCACCAAACGTGTAATATCAGCCCGAATAGTATGGAATTTTTAGGCCTGAAAATATGTATGCCACATTTGATCGAAATCGGTTCAGATATAGCTATAGCTCCCATATATATTGTTCATCCGATTTGTTATTTTTGTTCACCGCCACAGTAATATGCACTATGCAACAACAATATTTGGGGAAATATATCAAATACAGCTCAGAAATACATTTGCTAAATTTTATCGAGATCGGTTCAGATTTGGATATAGCTCCCATATATAACTTCGTCCGATTTACCTTTTATTGTGCACCAAACGTCTAATATTTGTCCAAATGGGATGGAATTTGGCACTAACGACCGAATTGAGCCTAGAAGCTAATATGTCAAATTTGGTGAAGATCGGTTCAGATATAGCTATAGCTCCCATATATATTGTTCATCCGATTTGTTATATTTCTTACCCACAGCCGTAATATGCATTCGGTAATAACGATATTCAGGGAAATATATCAAATACAGCTCAGAAATATCTTTGCCAAATGTTATCGAGATCGGTTCCGATTTGGATATAGCTCCCATATATATCAAATGGGCAATACAAGTCTGAACTTAAAAGATACAAATGCTTCGGCATATTGCGTCCTTTGGACTTTAAATTATAATTATAATCATAGCGTGTATGATTGAATTCTCCCATAAAAACTTTTAATTGTTATGTGGAGCTCTACTAAATTAGCAAAGTGGTGTAGGGTATCATAAAGTCGGTCCCGCCCGACTTTAAGACTTTCTTTGCTGGTTTTTTTTTATTTTTTTTTTTCTGGATGTGGGAATTTGTCCAAGGTGGATTCCGTTTTCCCTGACTTATATCGGCTATTTTCGGTTGAGCAAAAATTATCCGACTTTTTTGAAAATTTTCTGGATGTGGAAATTTTACCTTGGGCGGATCCGTGTTCCCGGACATATATATTCGGTTTAGCAAACATTCTCAGATTGTTTTGTTTTTGAAATTTGTTGTGGTTATGGGAATTTTGCCCTGGGCGGATCCGTGTTCTCGGACATATATCGGTTAACTTCGGTTTAACAAAAATTATCCGATTTTTTTGACAATTTTTCTGGATGTGGAAATTTTACCATGGGCGGTCATTTGACACGATTTTTAAATCCGGTTCAACCTCCATTTACCTAAACTATATAGACAATATACAGGATGAAATAAAAAAACTGCAACAAATATATAAAATAGCATCAAATTTTAGAATAAATTTTGATTTGTTTGAATTGATCACCTTTGGCACGAATTCCAAGGCTTTAATACACCCTCGAGAATATTTTTGCGATAACATTCGGCATTTACTCTGATGCCACAGTCGATTAATACGAGCGGAGAGCGACCATCATCTGTTATGGCAGCGATTGAGTTCTGGTGGCCAACCGAAGGTGCACATTTTCAGCTGACCTCTTTGGCAAGTAAACACTATCATTTTGTTTGTTTACAAACTGCTGGACAACGAATGTTTTCTCATCGGAGCGGAGAACACCAAATTCGGCAGTTCACCACTTTCGGCCAAGCGAATATACTCTTTCTTTAGCTCTTTTGAGTTTATTTTCTTTCTGTGGCGGTGTAAGTTCTTGCACTTTTTGGAATTTCAATGGCTTTACCACGAGCTCATTTTTCAATATTTGACGAATGGAATATTGCGATATGTTCAGCTCACGAGCCATTTTTCGGCCACTGTTATGCGGGTTTCGATCAAGTCGCTACTTTACTTTTCGAACCATTTCTGCTGATGTTGCTGTTTTCTTCCGTCCACTTCCTTGACGTCGGGCTACGCTACCAGTATCACTGGTAACGAGCGATGGTACGAGACACAAAAGATTTATTCACATTTAAATGCTGGAGTGCTCAAACGATAGCCACTTGTGGTTTACCAGTCAAACATAAAGAAATCACACTATCACGCTTGAATTCCATCACGAATCAGTTTTTTTCTGGAAAATTCTCATTAAAATGCTTTTGTACGCTTGTAAAGAATATAATGAACTGTCACTGAAATAATTTTAATCAATGAAGGACGAGTGGCTTAGAAATGACAGCAGTCTGAAGTTGTTTGCAGTTTTTTCATCTCACCCTGTATTTTCTTGATCAGCATAAAATTCTATGTCGATTTAACGATGACCGTCCGTCTGCCCATCTGTGGAAATCACTCTATGTTCCGAACAAAATGAAGTAGGTTGATACAATTTCAATCAACTGTATATTATGTCTGCAGGACTTTTGGTATTGAAAGTGGGCCGTGTAGGTCCACGTTTAGGTATAGCACCCATATAATGGTACCTCCCTACATTCGGTATTTTTGTGATTTATACGACATTATTAACCGGAATTGTTTCAAATTTAGTATTATAAGTTCTTCATGGATACTAAAGCATAAGACAGAATATTTTACGTGTATATCCACTTCTTCGTATAGCCCCCATTTAACGGTACGCCCCGATATTCTGTATTTTGATGATTTTAAAGACCTTATTCAGTGGAATTGTTTCAAATTTGGTGTTTGGAGTTCCTAATGGATACTACAGCACATGACAGAAAATTGACTGCACAGGTCCACACCTTCGTTTAGCCCCCATTTAACGGTACCTCCCGATGTTCGGTATTTTGACGACTTTAGTAACATTATTCACTGGAATTCTTTCGATTTTGGTATTTGAAGTTCGTAATGGATATTACATCCAATGGCAGAAAAGTGTCCGTGCAGGTCCACGCCTTTATATAGCCGCCCCTATATAACGGTAACCCCTGATATTCGGTATTTTGATAATTTTAGTGACATTATTCACCGGAATTGTTTCAAATTTTGGTATTTAAAGTTCGTAGTGGATGCCTAAGCCTAAGATAGAAAGTTATCTGTGCAGGTCCACGTTTTCGTATAGCTCCCATATAACGGTATCTCCCGATATTCATTATTTTGAACATTTTAGCGACAGCATTCACCGGAATTGTTTCAAATTTGGTATTTGAAGTTCGTAATGGATTCTACAGCCTAGGACAGAAAATTATCTGTGCAGGTCCACGTTGTCGCATAGACCCTAATATAACGGCTAAGTTTTTAAAAATGTCAACAGAATTCTTAATGGATTTCATTTTTTTGAAAATTGTCAAATTCGTTCCAAATGGTGGAGGGTATTCAAAGTTCGGCCCGGCCGAACTTACAGCTTTTTTTACTTGTTTTCATTACAGCCGAAGCTGCAGAGCAATAGGTTATTATAGGCCGAATAACTTGCTTTTAGATAAGCATTGGGAACAGCATCTGGTAATCGTAGTTCATCTTTATGGCTTTTTACAGCACAAAGTCCATGTGACGACAGTAGTCAAATCTGGATTCCAAGGTATTTCATGCTATCGAAAGTTTAAATTGCGTATCTCTTTGCTGTAGACTGTGATTTGGCTTGGTAAACGTTGAGGATAAGTCACCATTTCTTGAAGTAGTTGTGGGTCGTATTCATATAAACATTTAATATTTGTTCCACTGTATTGATCCCGCAACGCCAATAAAATGTCATTGGCATTCATGAGCACTATTCCTCCTTCAAGTGGTCCAGGGATGTCGCTGACAAACAAGTTGTCCCAGTAAAGATTCTTAAGAAACCCCGCTCATGGCAGCCGTTGCTAAAACAGCGATTCGTGAACTCTAACCTCAAAGACTCGTCTCTGGAGGAAGATTGCTACCATGCGACAGGTTTGTCCTTCCAATCCAAACGAATGCATTTTGTATAAAATTCCATTTTTAACGTTTTTTTTTTTTTCGTACCGAACCATTTCGAAGTGTTAGGATCCACAATAGATAAAATCTCTTGCAAAAAAATTCTTGAATGTCGGTCTACTACACTGAATTAGATGTAGTTTTGCGCTTTAGGCTTTTCAGAGAATAGTAGCTAGACCTGCAGAAAACTATTGAAAATTTCCGTCACAATGTCCAACTGAATTGGCTGTAATAAGACATTTTGGAAACTCTCTGCATGAAAATTGGTTCTCAAAAGTTCTTAATGTCGCTTCACGCTTTTAAATGTTGAATATCAGTAGGCAATTATTATTATTACCGGAATGAATACCTGACAATTGATGCCTATTTCCTATATTTTCAAAAATTACATTTATTTTTCTGAATCCAAACACTGTGCCCTGGCGACATTAACTCTGTGTGCGAGAGTATAGACGGCTTAGGTTTCCCCCACACGTTGTATTCGGAGTAGGCAAGAAAACATCGCAGCACATACAACACCAACAACAATTGGAACTCCATTAGTGTGCCAACAAAACGCACACACACACACACTTAC